ATTTAGTAACCCCCCCCCCCCACATCCACTCATACCTCTTATTATCTTCATTATACATTTTTTTTTGGGGGAGGGGGGCAAGGGATGCCCTTTGTCATAAAGTCCCTATTACGGCAGAATAGCCCAAAGCGAAAGAAAGATAAGAGAATAAATAGAAAAATTGCGGGGGCCAGTCCCTGAAACTTCCAATCATTCCTCCTGGTAAGGCGGCTGACAAAAACCAATTGTTCCCTGGAGAGCATGGAGGAGAACGTCCCAGGATTCTTGCGCACAAATCAAACTGCTTCCGTGGTTCGTTGACAGCCAAGATTAACATCCATGGCATTCTTGGGGCCAACCCATGGATAAGAAGCAGCCAGAGTTCAGAGAGTATGGCCCCGATTGACTGTTGATAGTTCCACTGGGGCGAGCACGAGGGAAAATTAAGGAGCGTCTGCGGGACATGTAGGTTCTGGGCCCTATCGGCGAATTCCTGGCATAAGCCATCATCGACTTGATGAGTTTGACTGGCTTGCTGGTCTCCCTTGGCGTGTGGCAGGGCGGGGAAAGAACTGGTTTTTTTCCCCTTTTTGGGGACCCCCCCCCCCCCCCCCCCCCCCCCACAACAACCCGCGTGTCGGCGGCGTTGCGGCGTCATTGGTAATTTCCCGTTCCCCAGCAGGTTGTTGAAGGTTTTGGCTGGTTGGGGCGTAAACGGAGATCTGGAGAGGGCAATTTAAGCTTGATGGCTGCGGCTCTGCATGTTTTGTGTGTATATATCCACCCACGGAACTCAGTGCTCCCCCCTCCATTAACTACGTGGGAGGACAACTCGGATAGCCCCCCCCAATTGAAAAAGGTGGAGGAAAGGTTGTTTGAGCGGGAGGCTAACCGTCTATCCAATTTTGCCTGGGCACCAACCACTATGTAGCAGGCACATACCTAAGGAGCATCGCGAAACACACTCAATTTTCGGATAGTTCCTATGTTGTTCCTGGCCTTGCCTGCTAGCAACACTTAATAGTTCGGTTCAACTTGATTAACTATCTTTTGTTGGTAAGAGAGCAAATACCCCATTATTCCCAGACAACCAGTAGTGCACCATCCTTGCCTTGCAGCTTCAAGTCCTAGTTATCTGCGACAGCCAATCAAACGACCACGAAGAGTCAACGAAACGCTGCCTGAGGCTGCCGAGCTTCAATCCCCGAAAAAGAGCTTTTCGGGCGAAAATCTTTCTTTGCAGCCATTTCTTTTTTCGATATAATTTCCAGAGGTATATTTTCCTCGATAGCAAAACAAGAATTAAACTACATTCGCAATAATCCAAACGTCGTGGCTGCAACAAGCGACCGTGTAAAACTGCCTTAAAAAGGGACAAGAAGTTTGAGAGCAAGAAAAAACCAGTTTTTTATCCCTACAACCTTTTGATACCGGGTGGGATCTGGCGCTCTGGGCCCAATTATCACTGGGCATGCAGCGCCGATCAGACCAGCATCATGCATAAATGATGGAACAAAGTTTCCTGATCCCTGCGAGATAAGAGAGCTCTGAAGCTACCAAGGCCTGCCAGCAGCAACATGGCCCACCTTAGCCCCAGGCAGACGTCCGATTGGGGGGGGGGGGCTCGCTAGCTGTATCGGCAACTGTTATAAGAGCCACCACCATGTGGCTCATTGTGAATTCTTTTTTAAGGAAAAGAGACTAAACAAAGGGCGATGCGGCGAGTAAGGAGCAATTAACATTAACGGGCTGAGAGAAGAATGGTGGTCAGTCAGGAGCTTTAGATGTAACTACTGCGTAAGTGAGAGAGGGCCGATGAACAAGGAGTGGGGGGTGGGGCGGGGCAAGAAGTCCCCGAAGTCTCTAGTAATTTAAAAAGGATAAGTGATGTTGGGCGTATTGACACCTATCACGCCCGGAGGCTCAGCTCCCTTAAGCATCCAGTCTAGCCTAACTTCCAAGGCCTCAAGGTCCCCAGAAACTTCGGGGTTTCAGGGCGGAGAAATATTTGTCACCGGTATCAATCTTTCACGATAGATTTCTAGCGCCTGTGAAACCTCACCAGGCTTGTTTGACGCCTCTTACGTATGTGTCTGTTCTGACCAGTTATCTGACCATGTAGAACGGCAATTGGGATAACTAGATGCTGGGCATTAATAAGGCTTGTACGACCATGCTGTCTTCTTGAATATATTCTCAGGTTTAGGAGGAGTCTTGGAGGATAATTGACAACCAAGTTTTCGTGGCTGTGGTACGCGGAACTTCTGGTGAGATCTTTTTCTCTCCCTGGTAGAGCCGAATCAAATGAACGGAATTCGGCTTTTCTACTCCGGAGTCCATCAATGAATTAGATGATGTTATGTGGTTATCCGCTGCGAGATAACTAAGTTCGTCAACGGGCCATGCTGGCACATCTAACCCTTTGGGAGAGCGATTACCTTCTGTTAATTATGAACTGTTTTGATGCGATGTTGTGACTTTTTGATGATAGCATAACATGCTTCCCGGCCATGGCGAATAGTCTGCATCATCAGCATCACGCATGGCGTGATCTAACACTTAAAATTGAAACCTTCCAGGAGTAAGAAAATGTATGGGACATCTTGTGCCTGGTTGTCAGAGCAGTGGGCCCCCGGCACATATCCTTAACTAAAACCTGTAACAGCAGTTCCGTGGATCTCTTCTCTCCCCACCCCACAAATAAAAATAGACACCGTTGTGTAAGATGTACGCATAAAGTGGGAAAAAAAATAACTAATGGAAAAAAATATTTTTTTGTTGAGAGTGGCGAGTGTGGACGGGAGTCGCAGAAGCTTCAACACACCACCCACAAGCGCAGCAAGCAGCCCACCAACCATCAACCACACGTTGTTTTTAGCTGGGCAAGTGTAAGAGACATGGAACGGGGATGTTGAGACCGCCCCAGGAAAAGCCTTCATCACAGCAAGTGCTGATTCGCCCGTGATGACAAGTTTGGCCGTTTTTCTTAATCAACTTTATCATCACACTGTTGCAGCAGCCGAAATGCTTGGGAGACGATTTGATATACATGTACCAAGTTGCACACCGCATTGCTTCCATTGTTTTTCTTTTCCGGTTTTTGTTTTTTTGTTTTTTTTTTAATTTTATTTTATTTTTAATTTTATTTTTTTTGCCCCTCCTGCATAACTAATCGCCAGAGTTATTCTTATTGGGTCTGATATTATCGTTATTGAATAATATTATTGTCGGAGGATAAGCTTCCCGAAAGCTGACAGGCCAGTGGTTCAAGATGGAGTCGGGATAATGTCATTCTCGTCAAGATCAGACCCATACATACATACATACATACATACATACATATATATATATAAATATAATTATATATATACATATTCAGTATCCACAGCCCTCATTCCCATTAGGTAGCAGCTCTCAATTCTTCCCCAGAGCTGACTGGGCGCTTCCGTGTTCGTATGAACTGTACGGATAGAATACAACACTCCAGCTTGTCCCCACTGTGCCATCAGCGTAAAACATGGCCAGAGCCTAGAATGCTCAAGAGGATCTCTATCTAAACTTGGAAGTGTTTCTCCAATTAGGGCTCCATAGTGCCAGCGCTCATTCGTGTCCGGTCAGGAAAACTTATGCAGGCTTGCACAGAAGCCATTGGAGTAAAATTCGCGTTAGCCTGTAACTAAGCTGTGGCAGGGAATCTCGAAATCGGAGGTTTTAAACAGAGGGTTTAAAGGTTCTTGGTAATTATTCTCCTTCAGCGTGATAACCAGGTCCATTGCCTTTTGGTTTCATTCGTTTTTCTTTTCTTTTCTTCTTTTCCTTTTTTTTTTTTTTTTTTTTTTTATTGTGGAGAAATAAGATAGGAAAAGTTAAAAATAACGGTCGGTTGATAGAAAAAAAAGAAAAGAGAGAGAGAGAGAGGGCCAAAAAAAAAAAAAAAAAAAAAAGCAATTATTTAACTTAAAATATACCAAGGCGTTGTTTCTTGTCGAAGATGTCGGTCAAGTCAGCTTGTGGCCAATGACAGTCGCGCCGGGGTTGGCTCTGGCCTCTGATTCGACAGGATGGGCGAAAGTGGAGAAACCTACTTGCTTTTCCCCGTACACCACATCCCGTCAGTTTGCTTTTCAATGCCAGGGTGCAGGAGTAGGTATTCCGTAGTAGTAGTAGTAGTAGTAGTAGTAGTAGTAGTAGGTAGTAGTAGTAGTAGTAGTAGTAGTAGTAGTAGTAGTAGTAGTAGTAGTATTAGTAGTAAGGAGGAAAATCTCTGGCGTGGTGTTTCGGGGGGGTTTAAGATTTGACAGGGTGGGGGGGGGGAAATACCGGGGAGGAGAGCCCTTAGAAGAAAAGGGAAGAAGTAACTAGGTCATTCCCAGGAGGGGAGGTCCGGCTTAGCCTTCAAGCTACTAGGGAACCC